ACACATACATTCCCTTTTACGAGTTTGTTGTTACATCATTATTTTACCGACTCTAAATCCTCACTAGAAGAAGTTCCTGATTAATAACAAAAATTTACCTTCACCGGACTTTTATTCTCCCAAAACACACAAAACACAGCTAGTGCAGTTGTACTCCTGCAAAGAAGAGATAGACAAGAGAGAGCAGAGGCAAAAAGCTACAGGGTGTGTACTCTTGGCTGTCAAGCACTTTAAATACAAGACACGACACTCAGGCCCTGTCCACACGTAGCCGGGGATCTGCCAAAACGTAGATATTTTTCTACATGTTGACCTGTCATCCACATGAAAACGGAGTTTTTTCACACAAAAACGGATCTTTTCAAAAACTCCGGCCAAAGTGAAGATCTGCGTTTTCTCCGTTTTGGGTGTCATCGTGTGGACTGACAAAACCGGAGTTTTAAGGTCTGCAACGTCACTTTCCGCGACAAGAAATGCTGACATCACGTGTGCGACCTGTGTTTACACTAGCCGGCATCATGGAAGCCCTCAGAGCTGCGCTCGCTTTATCAATTGTCCAAGCGCTTTTTGCTTGTTTGTTTTTGCAAGCGGAATTACTGCTCCTTGCGGAAGACCACAGACGAAGGACGAGGTTAAGAACGGCTATTGCCTGGCACCTGGCTTCTCCAAGTACTGCCGCCTACAGGTCTGGCATGTCCTTAACAATGTATTTATCCGGGTACGTGTGGACAGTTTTTTTTTAAAGGAGGTGGTGTGGATGCAAGTTTTTGGAGGGGCGGATATTCGTTTTTAAAAAAAACCTGGCTATGTGTGGACTAGGCCTCTGTTACACCCCTCCAGGCCTAGGAATTACCAGGAGGGGCAACACAAGTGTGGTGGGAGCAAACACGAGGACGAATAAAAGTTCAAAAGGAGTTTATTAACTAAAATTGTCCCTGGCAGGTGTAAATAACGTCCTTGAAAATAATAAAGCCGGAGGTCTGTTTAATCTAGTTTCTTGAATGAATAAATAAAGTTCTGGGCAAGGCCCCACACTCGTACAAATACCCTCCCTGGGGTATTTTTCCTTCTTTTTGGTCCTGTGTTGCTCCTACTGTGACTGGCGTCTCACGCTGTCCCTTTCTCTCGCTCTCTCTTGGGAAGCCGGTGGTTCTCCTGCAGGGAAGATCCTCGCGTCAGTGCAAAATCCTAGGTTTTGGTTCTCTCAGGTTTTCCTTCTGGTGGTGGCAAAAAGGCGATCACAGGTTTTCCCCATTTGGTCTCTTGTCTCTTATCTCTCCGAATCGTTCCTCTGCTGCTCGTATTGTGTGCTCGTTCTCTGTTCGATCTCTGGCTGCTCTTCTTCACGACTCTTCACGACTCTCTCCAACTCTCTCCAACTCTCCTCTCTGGAGTCCTGATGATTGCTGATTATCCAAAGCTGGTGTCAGCGGGCCGGCGGGAAGGGTGTGTCTCAGCGTGCCTCTCTCCATGGTGCTGATCCTCTGTCTCAGCGGGGCCAGAGCGAGGAGCTGTCCATGGTGCGGTGGTTTAAAATGGAGCTCAGAAACGCAGAGGTCATGTCAACCTCAGAGAGCAGAGAGAAACAAAGGGGCTCAGCCAAAACAAAGATACCCTGCTAAGCTCTTCTCAGAATGGAAATCCTCCTTTGTAAACTCAGTCAAACACACACACACACACACACACACACACACACACACACACACACACACACACACACACACACACACACACACACACACACACACACACTTGGGGTTTGTTCATCTTTAAATTCTGTCAAATCTGCATTAGTTAGTATAAATAGATATATAAATAATGCCGCTATGACAGGATTTCTGGCAGCGCTGTCCTCCTGACAGCTGTTTACTGAAGTTGTCAAGACAAATCTGGTGTCCCAGAATGTGTGTGGGCTGTTTAAGGAACAAGAAGGACTCCATTTCCAAAACACAATTTTCTGCTCCTCTCAGCTTCAGGTGATGGACGGACTGATGGACAAAGAGACTGTGTGCCATCAGGGTTCTTGTTGTGCATGCATTTTTAAATTGGAAGCTCACTTGAAAAGTTTGCAATGTAAGCAAGCATGTCCAAACAGAGCAGAATATCAATAACCACCTCTGCTCACTCTGAAGGTGACTTTCTTTCAGTAATGGCTGTCACAAAGATCTGTGTTGCAACTTGAATTGATTAGTTATATTTTCTCTCTCTTGTTCTTAAAACTCTTGCATCAGTTACACCTGTGCATGCTGATGCCAAGGTCATTTTATACATAAGAATGATAGAGTCTGACATTAGCCCCATTGCCTCTGAATGGGCAGATGCTTTGCTTCGGAAAGTAGGTTGCCAAGTGTCTGCTTTGATAACCCACTGGGGTTGGCTGAGAGGAGCTGGCAGCCTTGTGCAGAGAAACTCCCCGTGCATTTACTCAATGTAGATAGACTCTGCTGTGTTACCATTTAGAGGACAGTGAACACTAAACTGGACAGCTAAACACACATGCACTCAAACACAGATGGAGCGCCGCTAAAATGCACACAGCCATGCAATAACTTACACATCTGTGTTTTTGTTTGAGTAAATTCACTGTTTCATTCACCCACGATAAAGCACTGGTTATTGGCTATTATTAGAATAATACCTAAAAAGACTTTTAGATGAATTCCCTCAGCACTTTTGTAGAAGTAGAAGGTAGAAAAGGTGCAAAATAAAAAAATATATCCCAAGAATATTGTAATACTTAGATTTCATTACTTTTTGTCCATTATGTCCCGTTTGATAACCCTCTGTAGTTTAATTCCATCTGCCGTATCTAATAAAAGCTGACAGGGGTTATTGCATTTGTTCACATTCTTAAACACACCCATATGTATTCCCTTGTCTTTGGAGTGTAGTAGTCAGAATGGTGGTCTGTTTTAACACAAGTTATTATAGTCATTTAAACTTTTAGAAACTTTACGGGCAGCGACAGGAAAGTGTCCTGTCCTTGGCATTGTTTCACATTTTCCTTTTGCACTTTTTAAAAGCTTCATCTTCCCCTTCTGGCTCTGTCCTCTTCTGGTTTGGCACAGTTTGTGTTTTTCACCATCACACTTTTGAGACCGTTGAAGTCAAAAATGAAAGAGAGTTCAAAAGAAACAGACAATTTGCCTTTGCATAGATAGCATCTTTGGAAAATTACTTAAAGAGCAAGTAACGTCTAAATTAACTTTTTTTTGCTGATGAACTGTATAAATGAGTGTCTAATAGTGTTTTAAATGTGTGTATTCATTATTTTAGCATTTTGGTGCATTTTCTTTAAAAATTAATTTTTCAGCCTAAAAACCACAGTAATGCGCCACCTTCAGCTTAAAACACAGAATTTGACACATTTTGAATAAATTTTAGCCAATGGCTAAAGAGTAAGATACTACGTAAACCAGTAGAGTACTACGTAGCAGCTCTTGTGCCAAAGTTATAAAGCAACGAGAGTCTCGGCCACGCCCTGTGGCGAGTTGGGAGTTGGATTTGCAAGCGAGTGTAGGACGGTTAGCGGTAGTTCAGCATTAGCATATATCATTAGCATATTCTAGTCTTTAGCATAGCTTTTAGTGTTATACATACTTATTTAGTGTTAGCTTGGCTGTTAGATATTGTAGTTTAGTTAGTGTTTAGCTGTTAGTTTTATTAGGAAAGTAATTCAGGTTTAGTGTTCCATATCGTGTTAGTATGGTTAAAAGGTGTAGTGTAGTTGGTTGTGGTGGCTCTGTGGGGTTGCACTCCTTTCCACTGGACTTAGAAATTAGGCGCCAGTGGTTGCGCGCAATCGGTGTACTGGAAAACAGTCAGCTCCCGCCTGGTGCTGTAGTCTGCAACCAGCATTTTACCCGCGATTCCTTCGCCAACATGATGGAGTTTGAACTGGGTTATTCTGCACGTCTCCGTTTGAAGAGGGAGGCCGTGCCCACCGTGGCTCTTCCACGAATTAGATACAGACCACCGACTCTGCTCCAACACTATGGCGGGCTCCAGTCTGAGGTGAGTAAGCTAAATAAAAGTTAGCATCTTCTAAAGACAATTTCCTACCTAAATGCAAAGTTTGAGAGACGTGGTTCACTCCATTTAGCTAATATCAGCCTGCACTGCCTTCGGGCTAATTTGTCAAGTTCACAAAATGTGGAACGGGATGTAAGGTTAGAATCAGCGGCGAATCGGAACATTTCTCAAAGCCCTGGCCGACAAAAAAGGTCCACTTGACTATTTCTGTCAGGCTCGGAGAAAATTCGGGTTGTTTTTGTGTCAGTCGGTAATTCAGCAACAGTGGCTCTAACGCAGCACTAGTTGACAGACATCATTACAGCGTGAAATCCAGCTTTACACCAAAGCCTAACCCGGTTCTGTGAGGAATTCTGTTCAGGAGGTCGCATTTCAGGTTCTTCACATCATATGTGACTGACTTTGACATTATAATAACGATCACACACTAGGAATGTTATAAAGCGCCTATATATATATATATATATATATATTGGACAGTTTCTTTTGTATATTATATGACTTTATAAACTCCAACAACAATGTGCTTCTATTTTTTGTTTCAGGCTAAATCTACCCAAGACGTTGGCTGTCAGACTGATTTAGTAATCTGCAAAAATGCACTTGTCCAGGCTCATGTAAAGCCTTATCGACGTAGCAAAGGTGAATTATTTTTAATAATCTTCTATGTAAACATTTTATTATTACCTTCTAGTTTTAATTTGTTTTACAGATTATTGTTACACGTGATTTTATGCTATTTTAAACATTTATAAATGTGCTGCTTCTTTGTATTTTACATAGCCACACAGTTTAGAGCTCCCAGCCGCAGTGTGTCTTGTGACACAGGTACCGTGACGGAAATTCATCTTCCACAAAGTCCCAGAGCTGCGTCCACACCCCAAGGTGTCCCGTTTGTACCGGTCGTTGTGTTGTGAACACGACAACAGTCGGCACACTGCTCCGTGTGACACAACGGTGTTCATCCTGTGAGCACTACAATGAATGGTCCAGTCAGCCCATGGTGAACAGCATCCCAGCAGGAAACCTCCAGCTCTGTGCTGCTGTCCTTTTCACAGGCTCATCATTTAGCCAGATTTCTAAGGTATAGGCCAAAACTGTTTAGGTTAGTTTTGATAAGGTCTGTGCGTCTCTCATTTCATGTCGTAACTTTTCATATTTTAGTTCCTGGGTGCCTTCAATGTGCAGGGACTGTCCAAGCAGTCATTCTGTCGGCATCAGGCAAAGCTCTTAATTCCAACAGTGAGCTGGCAGTGGCAGCTAGAGCAAGCTGATATCATCCAGGAGGCTACTGAATCAGGACCTGTGACTCTTGGTGGTGACATGCGAGCTGATTCACCTGGTGAATACGTTTAAATTTATTTATTTTATTCCTTTGCTATCAAATGTAAATTAAGTAATAACTTGCATTTCTTGAAGGACACTCAGCCAAATATGGCAGCTACACCATGATGGATCTCAAAAGAAACAAAGTTATTGATATCCAACTTGTACAGGTACAACATTACCTGATGATTCCAAAACATTTAATGGTTAATTATTCACAGATCAATGGAGAATTATGTTTATTTTCAGAGCAATGAAGTTGGGAATAGTGTGCGAATGGAGAAGGAGGGATTTGTGCGAAGTCTGAGCACACTTTTGGAGAGGGGGGTCGATGTGCAGCAAGTCGTGACTGACCGCCACACAGGAGTGCAGAAGTATTTGAGGGAGGAAAAAAAGGAAATCAGTCACTACTTTGACCCCTGGCACATGGGAAAAGGTAATCTTTGGGGATGTATATAGTGAATATTACAGGATTTTTTTTTCTATTTTAAATGTGGGTCTATTTGGCTCTCCAGGAATTGGTAAGAAAATCGAAGAGCTGGGGAAGAGAAAGACGACCCAGGATGTGAGACTGTGGAAGCAAAGTGTGGTGAACCACCTCTACTGGTCAGCATCCAGTTCCTCCTCAGGACAGGAGGCAGTTGCAAAGTGGACTTCAGTTGCCAACCACATCCAAAATGTGCACAGCCATGACAACGCCCTGTTCCCTAGCTGTCTGCATGCACCTCTGGATGGAGAACAGGCAAGACAGTGGCTCAAACCAAGTAAGTGTAGCATGTACTCATTACAGCTGAGCCTTTACTGTTTGGTTTATTTACATTTAAAACACGTCACCCCACAACAGAATATTTGTCTTCACCTCCTTCAACATGGAGAAATATTTTTTGAGCATGTGAGTAACAGACATCACATGTAGCTGCTAAGGTCACACACCACCATTTGGCCAACAGCAATTAATTACTAAGAATAAAATGCTGTGCAGAAATTTAAACACACGAGTGCGCCACACAACTCATGGTTTTAGGCAGAACAGCCATAATTGACATAATATGTACTAAAATGCCGTAAGTAATGACCACACCTGTCTACAGCACTATTAGTCACTCTTTCATACATTTGTCATCTAAAAATGTAAGCTATGGGTAACTTTTTCTCAATGGAAATAATAGCAACATTCTAAAGTTGATCAAATTGTAATTTTTGTAATTAACATTTTCTACGTAGGCACAGCATCATGTGAGAAGCTCACTGCCATTCTGTTAGCTCCACGGTTTGTGAAGGACGTAGAGAAGATAAGCCCTCAGTACCACACATCCACCTTGGAGGCTTTCCACAGTCTCATCATCAGATTTACTCCAAAAAGTCAGGTCTTCTCCTTCAAAGGAATGCTGTCTAGGTAATGAATACAACAAATGTTCAAATTAATGCCTCTAATTGTTCAAATTTTAGCATGAAATGTAGAATTTTGCCTCAAATCTACATGGTTTGTTTATTTGATTATTTCAGATTACAAATTGCTGCAATGCACTATAATGAAAATGCAGCACGCTCACATGCAGCAACAGCAACTGGTGAGCTGAGATATGCTGTAGTGTACCCAAAGTACAAACGTGGAGCCTACACAGTGAGAGCCCTGAAGACCAATCCAACCTCATGTATGTCATATATTGTATGATAAAACCAAAATGATGGTCATGGAGAGCTATTGTAATACTGAAAACCCTTTTCCAGTATATGTGCACAAGCTTATGGACCTGCTATTCGACTCTGTGGTGGTGGATCCTCTCCCATATCAGGAGTACTCGGACAAAATTACGGTTCCAGAACCGCTCTGTGCCCAGTTCCAAAGACCAGATAAACGGGATGCTGTGAGCAGGCACAGGTCCAGGTTTTAAAGTGCACGTCAGGTGAGCTACACAGGAGATTGTAATTATTAGTTAGTACTCTACTCTGTGTGGTTTCTCCTTTTCTCCTCCTCAGCCAGGCTGCACACCACTGTACGACAGAGGAGTTACCTGTCGTCATTATGGATCTTTATGCTCATCCACTCGTGACTCATGCTGTCCACCTCCCAGATGTCTATTGATCTCTACAACCTTTCTGCTCTGTGGCTCCCATACAACTTGAAAATCTTGGCCGTATGTAACATAGCAAAACTCACCAGTCTTGCTTTTGTAAGTCATACTAGTCATACTAATATTACTTTTTCCTTAGAGCCTCCTGATCTTGTAACAGAAAAACCTGTGCTCCCGGGATCCATCTCCACGTTTGTCATCACAGTGAAAGCTACCTCCAGTCTAAGGAACCTATGAAACATCACTGTTGGCCCAACCTCTCCTCACATGGCTCCAGAATCTCTGCTTGTGGTTTAGAGTTTTGTCAAAAATCTTGAAAGTTATGATCAGATTGTTATCTAACATTGTCTTAGTAGTAGCTATAATAAATGTTATCTTTAAAGCGCAATTGTGTCTTTTTAAATACAATTATATTGATATTTTGATGCGTATAAATACATATATCACATTTATTATCATTCATTTTTACCTAATTGAACCTGCTCTAGAATAGACTTCATTAATCACACAGGGTGTAAACTCACTTGTTACAGCAGCATTAATTAACCCCGAATTAGAACCTTACTGTTGTAAGAGCTCATTTGAAAGTATGTGGCTATATGTGTGTATATATAAATAATGTCAAAGTGTAAAGAAGTGCATTTACCGTTTTGTGATTTATGCAGCTTTTTATGGACAGGAATCAATACAGGAAATATATATTATAACATTTATTTAATCAAAAAAATATATATTAGTTCAGAGGAGGGAGGAATCCTTTGTATGCACCGTCTTCTGGGAACTCCTGCCTTATTCTGGAGACAGCGCATGACGGGATCACAACACGAACGTGCTGTCCCAGGTAACCCCAACACCACCTGACCACATTCCGGTACGCCAGATGTCTGTAACAGCTGAGAAAGAGGTGGTATGAGTTATAAAGTATTCATAAAAAAAGTAATTTGACAGTTGTCTTACCTGTTGAGCGTAGTCTCCTGCATCTCCCCATAGAGTTGCAGAAAGGTGCCATAAACTGCCTGCAACACGTAGGGATTCAGAGCAACAGCCTCAAAACCAGGATGCTCTGTTATGCAGGAGGTTACACCCACCTGCTGACACCTGAGCATTACCTATGACAAAGAACAACTGATATCAGGTCTATAAGAGTTCAATATTAGTATGATGTTAGTGATTGTGTAACAAATGTGTACATTACAGAATGCTTTTCTCATGGTGGGGTACTTTTATTTTTATACCTTGGGCGTTTCTCTGCAGCACACATTTTCTCTGGCAGACAATGATGTGCAGTGGCCGCAGGTGCACCTGTCGAGGCAGTCATACAATATTACTTTTAGCTAAGCTAAATATAGCTAGCTGTGGCTAAAAGCTACTTACCACTCAGAGACTGGACCCATTCGATGCCTTGATACTCCTGCTGGCTCGACTCCAGGGGCCTCTGACAACTCACGAGCTAGTGGCTCAAAAAGATACGGTTCAGGACCGCTTGCTTCCCCCAATAAGCCCTCCTCCCTATCCTCTGGGGAAGAAGGTGGGGAAAAGTCCTCCACCTCGAATGACTGCTCTGAGCTAGTGTCGCTCTCCGTCGCCATCTGTATTCAAATTTCAGTATGTCAATCACGGCCGTAGCTCCGCCTTCTCGGTCTTACAGGAAACGCCTCTTTGGGCTGCATTTTTCAAATATGAAATGTGGGTGGAGTAAGACTCTGAGGAGGCTGTTACCACTACTTTAATTTAGAAATTATTGCTATGCTTTTTTTTTACATTTTCTATTCAGCAGACAATCTTAAAAATCAATATTTTGCTAAAAATTATCTTTGGCCAGTCCACACTTTTCTGCACACACAGAATATGGCGGCGCAAAACATTTAAGAACAATTATATCAGTTTAACAAAATGAGAAAGAAATATCTTTTGTCAATATTTTTGCTGTGGTCTCTAGTATAAATTAATATCTGTGAGAAAAAAGCTCTTTTTCAGGAGCTAGAAGTTAGCCAGAGGAGAAATGGGCAGCAGGAGGCAGGATTTAGAGTCTTATTTTCTTATATTTGGACATCTGACTGGCTAACAGCAACGCAGCTCTACCACAGACTGCAATGCTGATGTTTTATCTCCACAAATAACAAGCCTGGAGGAGTTCTGCCATGTGGTGCAGTTGCTAGGTTAGCTTTAAACTAGCCAAGATGTGTTCCGCTCTCTCCTGGATGCTAAATAAACAACAGTCTTCGCCGTCGCCAGCCAAGTTGGGTGAGTCACTTTTACAGTGTGACGTGGAACAGATCGTGTTCATTTTCCATCAGCGACAAATTAAGGAAATAGGGATAGAAAATATTTCACATTTAGCCTACATGTGAAATTCAGAGTGACTGGTAATATTTCAAAAAGAACAAGTAAAATAGGTTTATGTGTGAACTTAATTTTTGAAAAATGTTTGCTTAATATAAAGATAGATATAAACACAGCCAAATTTGATGCACATATTTAAGTGCAAGAGCGAGTCTGAATTGAAAAAAGCAATTATTTGAGGTATTCTGGAATTTTCGCAGCTGTGTAATTTCTGTTGTTGGCAAAAAGCTAGAGACTAAAGGACACTCATTTTAAAACACCAAATATCTTTAAAAAATGCACTGCCTCAAACATTAACCCTCAAAACAAACCAGAATAAAAAAAAACACAACAACACTAACCCCAATTTCAAGATAGCCTGTCAGGCTTATTCCATATCCAGTTGTTAATCATCCGCGTGGCTCATTTTGTGGTGACCCTCAAGTGGCTGTCTATGGTATTGAGCTATAATAATCAAGGCTACAGCAAAGGGCAGAGAAAACAGCAGCACGGATGAGGTGGAGGTGGTCTTTTATTTGCTGCAGAGACCCGAATGCTCCCAATAAGGCTCACATAAGACCAACATTATTAGAAAAGCTCAAAAATGGAGGCAGGATGGTGTCTCCTGGATTTACAGGGGGCAAAGCCAATCATAACCGATTTCACAATCCTAGAGTGCAAATGCATCCGATTGTTGGCAAAGACAGAGCACGGTGTGTTTCTGTCCGTGCACACTTGTCTCTTTAATTGTCTGCATGCTTAACAAATTGCTAATGCCTCCAGTACCAGGAATCACATTTCTGCTCTCACTGCAGATGCATCTCACTGAGATTAGCACATCAACTAAGAAGAAGCAGGAGGTTTGATTTACAGCAACCAAATCAGATACAAAAATGACCATTCTTGACTTTCTTCTACTTCTCAAAGACAATTTAAGGTCACACTTGGCAGTTTTGCTTGCTTTTAGCACCCCATGCAGGAAACATGCAGGAAACAAGCTGGAAACAGACTGCAGCACCAGGTATGTCAGCTCCATTTTTTCCTTAGTTCAGCAGGTGGCGGCCCGCCAGTCTGAAGATGCAAATCTGGTATTCTGGCCACAGGAAGTGGTGGAGGTCTGCGCAACATTTCATTTACCCTGTAAAGGGCAATTTTAGAACATACTGGTTCAATAAAATTATTTAAAAAATATATAAAAGTTTTGTGCACAAAGGCTAATTAAAGGTAATGTGGAGGATGTTTCTGAATTGCAGGAAAGAACCGCCCTCTCCCCTTTCTGAAAAAAATGCTCGAGAGAGAATGCCCAGTTTTCCCTGTTCACGCTCTGTTTACAAGTAGCTGCTGGTCTTGCAGCACTTCTAACAGTCATTAATTTATCCAAATAGCATGCCGAACTTTTGCTTATTTGTCGAGCAGAAAACCACGCTATCGTTGAAAAGAGTCTCCTAAAAAACACTTGTATTTTTCTCACTTCGAAGGCCTCTCTCTTCTTATCGTAGACGCCTAAAACACTTTTTCCTCTTGCGACTGTCAGCCATTTTGAAAAGAACCCGGAGAGAACAGTGTGAGGATTGAGGGCATAAATCTCTACACGTGAACAGAATGCGCATTCACAGGAAGTGAAAACTACTCAGCAACGACGAAGGCCTTGGTGAACCAGAATGATTGACAGTTATGCGGACCATTGGTTCAGATGATCCACCTGGAAGAAAAAGATGCGCAGCATCACCTTTAACTGTGTTACAATTACAGTGTCATTTACCACGACGTATCTTGGTTTAGTCAATGATGATGTTAAAAAGGAAATCAACCAAAATGTGACAAAAGCTTAAGCAGAAAGTTATGAATGTCTCACTTATAAAATGTTGTTTTTGGTCTTTTCTAACACTATTTGTATGATGTTAATATTAAATGTATCACAAGATCTCAGCCTATCTCGTTCCTTTTTGCTGCTGTCCATTTTTCCTCTTATCAATTTCCTCCATCGTCATTGTTGTCAGTTGAGCTCCCACACTGTTTACTGCCTCATGCCTTGCCACAACATATCTGGCAAAGGCATCTGGCATGAATGCTAATGTCTTATCCAGTCTGGAGCAACAGAATATGTTAGATGTCTGCACTACAGGGAGACCGTCTCACAGGGAGACACCAATCCAAGGATTTTTAAAAAGACTGGTGGAGATTGTTGACAAAGGGGTGACTGGCGTTCTTCAAAGCCTTGTTTTCAAGAAGCACAACAGAACAGCAGCATTGTGTGTGTGTGTGTGTGTGTGTGTGTGTGTGTGTGTGTGTGTGTGTGTGTGTGTGTGTGTGTGTGTGTGTGTGTGTGTGTGTGTGTGTGTGTGTGTGTGT